TAATAGTGGCACCTGTGAAAGGTCTGATATTTTAATGCATTTTCAATAGTTCCAACCATGAAAGTTTGATCTATGTGGTTTTGTCCAGCTCTTGCTGATGAAGGTGGAAACTTCAGTTGATCTCTCTGTTACGTGGGTTCAGATTGATTTGCATTTGAACACTTTCCAGTTTGGAGATTAGATAAATGAAGCAAACTTTCGCCTTTACCCTTAGTGCAGAATACCTTTCTCTTTGGATCCTGGCTGGCCCGGATCCTTCAGTTCCCTGCTGATGTAGGTCATCGATCTCACCTCTTATCAATAAAGGCAATTTTCCCTTTCTAGCTATAGCAGCAGCTCCAATTGCACAGTCAAGGAGCTATCCAGAGGGAAGGCAGGATTGGTCCTGCTCATAGGACTGGTCATCTCAGTGTGGTGCAGAGCAAGGCAGTCGCGGCTCCCCCATTGCGTTACCATCCCTGGCTGTTGTCTGACCAGGGCGAGAAGCTGCTGGCAGCGAAGGAGTGCTCAGCTCTGGGCTGTGCAGGCCACACCAGCACGCTCACGGTAACAGAGGTGAGAATTTGCCCTCATGCAAATTCATCTGGGATATATCTGTAGATATATTGAAAGACAGATAGAGATACAAAACATATCGATATAGAATTAAAACAGACCCAGGGCTAGAAAAATCCTTTGGTCCAGCCTTAGGACCTGTTTTGGTCCTAAAGAGGAGCCAGTTTCTATCCCATTTCCTGGCAAGAAGAGCCTAAAAATGTGGTTTGATTTCAGCCAGTCGGACCTCTGCATGAAGAAAATCCATTTTGTCTCTTGCCTCTCTTTTCCAAGTGATGGCAGTCACTTCAGTGGCTGCTGTTGTACCAGCTAGAGGCAGCCAATTCAGGCCAGACAACTGTAGCCAGAGCTTGCACCGAACCGTTTGGGCAGGGTTTGCTGCCATGGCTCCTGCTTGAGTCAAGGGAGGCAGGTCACACGCCGACTGCCTGCCTGGAGGGAGCTCAGCTGAATTTCGATCTGCTTTATGGAGCTGTGCAATAAATAATTAACTTCCAAACGATAGTTTTATCATGTGCGCAGCTGGATCAGAGCAGATTATTGTTATGGGCCAACCACTGGGCAGCAAACTTTGTGTTAAAAATCCGAGGTCACACGTTCAGAAAAGGTATGATAGTAAATTGTTTTGAAAAGACCATGCTCCTTTTCTAGCAGGAAGAGGTTGTTAATGTTATTAGCTTGAGAAGTAGGAGGGTTTTTTTCTCCCTTCTCTTGCTTTCTGTCTTTTATGTGCAGCTCTCATGAACTTAGAGCTGAACTGGAACTGCTTGCATTGTCACATGTCTTATTTAATTGTGCAAATTGCTTTCTATTCCAAGGACAGGTTAATGTAGAAATGGAAAGGATTAGAACCGTTGGGATAAGCGATCGCTCTTTCTTTTAATTTTTGGTTTTAGCATAACAATAGCTACTATTTCAAAAGCAGTCCCTGGGTCTGCCCTGTCCCCCTTTCATGCAGGCAAAATACTCGTCTAGGGCCTGAGTCTCCTCGCCCTCTCCC